CACAAGAGGGAGAAGTTTACCCAGAGCCAGGTTAGAGGAACTCCTTGCCTTCCCCAGCCCACAAACCAAATGTGAGCTGCTTGTGTTACCAGACCTCTTTAATTCCTCTGCATATGGATCCTTAACATTTCCCTTGCTGCTCAGCTCCTTTATCATGCCACAAAGGGGCCCCTAGAGGAGTCACTCTCCCCTTCAACCCCTCCTTTCCCCCATAAACATGTAAGTGTATTCCCTGGATTCTACACTAGCCTTTCTGAACCCATACAAGCCCATCTTTCCCTTTTCACATGTTAACCAAGGATGAGTCCTCAAAATACTTTGCCAAAAGCTGAGAGGGGACACATATCATTTCATGGCCTATTCTCTAACAACTAGACATAGTCAGCGTAGGCTGGCCACTTTGCCCCTAGACCATGGCCACAGTGGCACTGCTTATCACTGAGACAAACAAAATTTCACTTCACAGCCCCCTGCACATCCTCACTACACTCACTCAAGGGCCTCATCAACCACTGAGATTTCCTGACTCTCCCTCCATCCAGAGTACAGCTTCTCCAGACTTACTAATATTACATCACAGCCTCATATTGGAGACATGCCCACAATCAACCCCACATCACTTCTCCATAACCCTGCACATCCTCTGATCTCCTTCACTCTTGCTTTGAGACACTTGACCTTCCTTCTAACCCTTTTGCCCACTTACTTGTACTTGATCACTCCCTGAAGAAGCCCCGGGTTGTTGACAGATGGGAACAGCCTAAAACAGACCCTTACACAGCAGGATGTGCTGTACTTCAAGGGAACCCTGCTGTGGAGGGCCCAGCCCCCAGCATGCTCCCAGGAGGCCAGAGAAACTGGAGAGGAGACAGGGATGGGCGAACTCTTGGACTGACGCACCCCCACACGTGGACTTTATCTGAGGGACAAAGCTCAGTTCCTCCTGTTGTTTCTCCCTCTGCTGGTCTTTCTTCCTACTCTGTGTTCTTTTCTTCCTGTCCTGTTCTTTTCCCTGCTGTTTCCCTTTTCTTATTCTTCCCAGTTGTTTCCCTTCTTCTTCTTTCAGATGTTTTTCCTGCTACCTCTTCACCTATGTTTCCCTTCACATCTTTCCTCATTCTTCCTTCTCCTATATTTATTTTTCACTTATTCCTGTTACACCTCCTAAGACAAATTTTTTCCCTGCATGTATGCCAGAAGAGGGCATCAGATCTATTGTAGATGGTTATGAGGCACCCTGGGGTTGCTAGGAATTGAACTCAGGACCCCTGGAAGAGGAGCCAGTGCTCTCAACCTCTGAGCCATCTCTCCAGCCCCCTAAGACAAAAATTTCTATGAAAGAAAAGATTACTTCATAAGTATAAGTTATATATTTTTCAAAAAATATTAAAATGTTACATAAGAAGAAATTACATTATGATCACAAGCTACCTGTTTTTCCTAGAAGCCCACAAGTATTTAAACATTTTTGTTTGTATTAATTTTCCCATCATAACATCTTCACCCCATAGAGGTGCTTCTTTTATTACTGATTGACAAAGGTTTAAGCAAGCTAAGTGTTTCATACTGGCAGGGAGCTATTTGTGCTTTTAAAGTAGCAGGTTCCTATCCTGATTTTACTCCAGAGAAACTTTAAAGGACAGGTCAGCTAATCATCTATCTTTCTTTACACACAATAGCGTCATTTAATTTCCTTTCACAACGTGGTTTTTTCAAGGTGAATACTGGGGCCTGTGATTAATTCTGTAAGTTACATGACTAAGGAACTCAGGTCTAACCTTGGGTACAGGGACATAGTTTTTTCTTTGATCATCAGCCTGTTTTTCCACAGACAGAAATCATGGGTCTATAATACACAAAACCTCCTTGTTCTCATTTTCTATCCTCTTCAAATTTTGCATCCAACAAAGAGGAAGGTATCTTTTAGTATAAAATAAAGTTGGTTTTTAAAAAATCTTTTATTGGAGCAATTGGCCAAATAACCTAAACTACTTCCCTAATCATCTTTCCTGTCTTAACCATCTATATGTTTAGGCTAAGCCAGAAAGTCCAATTAAATCATTGATCTAATCATCATTGCTCTTATGAAAATCATCTTCATTGTGATCTGCAGGTAAAATGCCCAGTGAGCAGTGGGGTTTCATCACACCATGCCAAATGCAGCAGGCACATGGCCGCAGCAGGCAGGAGGAAGCACTGCAGAAGCAAGGGGCATTCTGGGAACAATCTCTCTTTCCCTTCTCTGCCTCCTCCTCAGAGCCCCAGGGCTTTGCCTCTCCAGGGTTCAGCTTTGCTATTAGGTGAACTGAACTCCATGAGCTCCATGCTGACTGTAGCTCCTCTGACATGGGCGCTGGCAGAACCCCACTGCTCCCCCAAGCCCACACTTAGTAGAAGACAAATCCCTACTCCTCACACAGCTTCCCAAGGGCAGCAATAACTGTCCTCACCTGGGCTCTCACACTTGCTTTTCTTCCATTCTTATAGCCAATACATACACTGGTTTCCAATACGTCTCCAACATAGTCCATGCAACACATTGCTTTGCACAAAGGGGTTTTCCAACGCAAGGAAACATCAATTATGAACTCCCTTTGGATATCGAAATGAAGGAATTCCCCTTCCCATGACGTCATTCTCCACCAAGGGGACATCAAAAAGACAAATGATTCATCTCTCTTCTCAAAAATTCAGGCCGTCCAAATGGCCCAACAGACTGCTGTGTCTTATCCTAACTCTGATCTAACAACACAAACACCATCTCCAAGGCCAACATTGTACACTCAAGAAACTCCTTCCCTACAGCTGTCTACACACAAGACACTTGGATAGTTTCCTACTGAAAGTCTGAGCTTCTGGACTATAGAAGTCATTTCTGCCCCCATAAAGGTTGAAGCCAGTTTCTTTCAGTGGAATTTTTTTCTTGTCCACCCTCATGGAGTAGACATTTGCTCATATACCAACATGGCATGGGATATATGGCCCATCTATCCATGTGAGCAAGATCTGAGATGACCCCCTTACTATGTTTCTACCAGTATAAATGGTCCTGTGTGAAGATATGGCTTGCCTCTCTATTTCTGCCTTTTCTGGCTCCTTTAATCTGCCCTTAACAACCCAACACACTCCTTTCCCATAAGCCCTGTCCCTTTAATGGCTGATATCCTGATTTACCTACATTCCCTATTCTAATCAGACTGATGTTCTATCTCTGAAGTTGCTCATCTTCCTCCCCCACTGACAGGCTATTAGTATTATTATTATTTTTTAAAAGGCTAGCCTTTGTAGGCAGAGTGCTACTTGATGCTAATCAACCCTGCATAGTATGGGGAAATGCTCGGCAATTATTAGAAAGAATCAAACACAGAGAAAGACAGACAACACTTTCTGGAAAGACCCCTCTATATCCTCAACATGCCAATTCCACCTTTGGGACCCACCAGCATCATCTCCAAAGGACAAATCCTCTCCACCATTTTATTTTTTTAACTCTACCAGAGTTGGGATATTTAGAGTGAGAGACTCAGGTCACAGGAATTGAGTCAGGATGCATTAGGCTGTAGCCCCATCCATAAAGAATTTATTAGGCCCAGAGTGACTGTTCAGCTCCACCTGCAGAAACAACGTGCCTGGGTAGTGAAGACAACTCACCTGCTCCCAATCAGACCACAAACACAGCTGCAATTCTCTGGTACACACACACACACACACACACACACACACACACACACACACACACACACACACACGCAGACACACACATGCCCCCCAGCTTCTATAATTGTGCTCAATCTCATGCCATGGTAAGATTGGGCCCTCACTATTCCAATAAAGCACTCTCAGCTTGCTGGTATCTAGTCTACCTCTTCTCTGCCTCACTTGTCCTACAGAGACAATGTGCTCTCCTATCCTCCTCCCAGAGAGTCACTGTCCATTGTATGCAGAAACACAACTCTCACCTCAAGGGATAAGAGTTTACTCTGGAGACAAAATGAGTGACCATGGCCCAGGAACAAGATTTACATTACCCCAAATTCCATGTTCCAAGGTGGTAATGGAGTCTTTATAGTCACAGAACAAAGGAAGCCATACATAAGACACTTTAAGCACATGGTGGAAACATCAGAGAGGGGGTTATAGCAAAGTGAGGGGACCTTGTTTACAAGGGTCAGATGGTACCTGATGATACTCTTAGCCCATGGGTTTGTGGGAGCTGTCTGTCTGTTAATATATTCCAAGGAAAGCTAGTCTTCTGAGTTACCTGATGTTCATAAAGGTCAGAGACAGTGAAGAGCAATAAACAGGTATTGAGAGGGCTAAAGATGGAGGGCTGGAGAGGTGGCTCAGTTAGTTCCAGGAGATCTGATGCTCTCTTTGACCTACATGAATTCCAGGCGTGTACAAGGTGCACATGCATATATACCCGGAAAACACTAATATGCATAAGGTAAAATAAATTTTTTTTAAAGAGGGTTAAAGATGGCTCTGAACTTACAGGTTTTCAAACCCTCTGTGGTCACTGACTGCTAGGCAGTCCGCGATGTAGAAGGTTCTGTGGAAGCTGCTGTTACTTTCCAGAACCTTCCGTTCTCACAAGGCTTGAAAAGGGCTGGCAATTACATTTCCCCTTTTTGCAGTTCTTTTGCTTTTAGGTTGGTTTCCGCAGGACAGTGAAACACCCCCTGTCATCCCACCTTGGCAGAAGAGAAAAGTGTGTGAAGTTGCTGTAATTAAAAAGCATTTTGCACTACCAAAATGTAAAAGAATTCTCAGTTCCGTTTATTTACTTTACGGTACACCACATTTCCTGTCACAAATTTCTAACTCTCTTTCTCTCAGAAGTAGATTTTATTTGCTGAAAGGGTGGATATATTCAGGATTGATCAAGAGGGAACAACAAATCACTGGCCAGTTGGGCGGAGCCTCCAAGTCAGCTGGTTTGAAATCCAGCTCACTACAAACCTTTGGTTTGCAAACATCCTCATTGATTCCAGGTTTGCCCCAGCAGGAAGACACACGTGCAGAAAAGCCTCCATGAGAACGTTCCCTGCAGAGTCCTCCTTGCCAGCTGGCGTGGGAGAAAAACGTATGTATTTAATGAATTAAGTTTAAGGGAGTGAGGGAGCTTCCCTAGGGGAGCAGAATCTCCCTGTGTTAGCCTGCCACAGGTGTCTCTAGAAAGCCTTAGAGGCTGGGGAGCCTGGGTGGGGTGGTGCGGAGCTCTAGGGTGGGCAGGAAGCACCCTTGCAATTCTGTATTATTCTATCATGGCGTATGCTACTTAAATATGTTTTGGAAAGAGCAACCAACAGCGAACTTGTTTGTGCACTCTTCTCTGGCATCTGGAATTTTCGATCCACTGGTTTCCGCCAGAGTGAGGTAATGTGTGTGTAGACAGAAGTAGCCTGTCAGGCTGCGATTTACTCTTGTCTCACCCACAGTAATTAAAAGAACTGTAGAGATGTGCTGTAGGAGTTAGGATTGAAATAGCCGCCCATCAGATTACATTTCCCCATAGTCGTAGAGATACTTGCCGCTGCCCGGCCTCGCATTCATACTTGATTCTGAGAACCCTGCTACCTCAGGGAGAGAGATAAACAGTCTTTCTGAGTTTGTAAAGCAAAGTAGGCATCCGGATTCCCAGGGGATTGTTTGGAGGACCTTAGACATGCTCAGACACATCCCTGCTATCCAGTGCACACCTAAAGTGCCCCTCTTCCAAACCTCCCCTCCACCTCCATTCCTGACTCCCACAGTCCGTGCCTCCTCCTTCCCCTCCACTCCCCACTTGCGCCTTTTCCCCAGACTTCGGGGCTGTCAGAAATTCTCCCCCTTCCTTAGGGCACCGGTATATTCCTGGCCTTAAATGATTCTGTGGCATCGGGGAACAATCTCAGCCCTTCTGTTCCTATTGTTGTATCCCAGGTTTTTCAGTAGGGCGGGGATGGAAGATCGATCCCACCTGCAAATCCATCTGCAGTTTTGCTTTGTGGTAAATGGTGGGAAAAGGACATTGAAGATTTCTACTTTAAAACTGTATCCTCTCATTTCGAAAAACGTTTATATTTCATTCTTTAGATCCCTTTCACGTTAATTTTTTTAAAGTTTATTTTATTTTATGTGTAGGGTTTTTTGCCTGCCTGTTAGAGCACCACATGCATGCCTGGTGCTCACAGAAGTCAGAAGAAGGTGTTGAATCCCCTGGAACTGGACTTACACAGTTGTGAGCCACCCTGCTTGTTAGTTTGAGAGAACTAGCTAAAATCAGACAGGAGTTAATATTATTTTCTTGGGTTTGGAAAGATTGGTTTTTAAAGTAGGAGGCAAAACTAGTAACCATAAGGAAGTCTATGCATTCAAAATATGGAGGAGTTTAGAAATCTCCCAAGATTTACTTTCTATAGGGAGTGTGAGGAGCTATGAGGAGTACAACCCAGGGAAACCAGATTGCTCACATGCTGAGAAGTGCTGGAGCTAGAAATGAGCATGTGAGCATTATCGTGCTACTTTCTATATCTTTGTATAACTGGAAAGAATGAAGGTCGAGAGTTTTTGTGTGGACCCAAAATCCAAAGGCCACAGTTTAGTGCTTAAAGCCTTCCAATCCTACTCCTCTGTTGTTAATGTGAGAGGCTTCCTGGTATTTTAGATGTGTGAAACCGAGCAAAACACAATGGTTAAAGCCAGTGGAAACTTTGTAAAAAGTATAATTTGCATTCAGTAAAAATAATTCACTTGATGTACATCTTCATCACTTTTGAAAACATATAATTATGCATTCTTCATCAAGATCTATAGGAGCTGGAGAGTTGGCTCAACCATTAAGACCATTTATTGTTCTTACAGAGGACTGGATTTGATTCCCAGCATCCATATGGTGGCTCACACTCTGACCCCTAACTCCAATTCCAGGGATCTAACACACTCTTCAGAACCCCCAACACGAGGCTTGCATGTTGTACACATATATACAGACAAAACACTCATACACATAAATTAAACACAAAACAATACTTTATAAAGGATATATAGACCCCTGGTCCCTACCCCACTCCAACTTCCCCATTCCCTGTTGCAGACACTCCGTACCTCTGTCCCCAGCCCTTACACACTTACTTTTCCAGAATGTCACAAAATGGATCCCTGAAGCAGAGACTTCACATTTGACTTCTTTCACCTTGATGCAGCATTGCATTCTGCTCTTTAGACCATGCAATGTCAGACACACTGCTGGCTAGATTCTAAGAGACTGCCCACAGCACCACCTGCACAGGAGCAGTGCTCTGAATTCACAAGTGTGCAAGCATCACATAATCAAATGTTACACAAAGAAGTTAAGAAAATCTAGCGGGAAGCTTGTAGAGAGGTGAGAGGAGGAAGCGAGTCGTGGCAGTTTGGGTTTCTTTTCAAAGTAAGCAGGAAGGAGACAGTTTCCTGCAGCTCACTGTCTTTAAGCTTGCTGATAAGTTTAGTTTAAGGACTTTTGAGTCAGAAGCCTTGGGACAATGCCTGGTGAAGTTATATGAGAAAAAGGGAAGTGCAGGCTTGTGGTCCAACTTGTTTCTTCTGTTGAGAGGGTTTGTTTAACTTGTCATCAGTTTGGGGACATTTGGATGATTGCAAATGTTGAATTTCTTTCTTTTTTTTTTTTTTTTAAATAGTGATCCTTAAAGCTGCTACAAATATACATGTAAAAGTTTCTTTTTCTTTTTTCTTGAAACTTAAATGCCGGCTTTCCTTTCAGTATGGGGATACGTGGGCAGGATGGGGGCACATCACCATATTGTGCAGTTCCTGCACAATCAGCTTCACAGTGGTTGCACAATTTTGCCTTTCTAAAAGAAGGGCGTTAGAGTCACATCAACATCGAATTCATCAACCTCCTGTTATCTAGACAGTCAATTTTCTCTTGAATCTAAGATGATTTTTGCCCAAGACAAGTTCACAGACATTCCCCTCACTTTATAAGGAATTAAATGACTTTACAATATTAAGCTTTGGCCAGGCAGTGGTGGCTCAAGCCTTTAATCCCAGCACTCAGGAGGCAGAGGCAGGTGGATCTCTGTGATTACAAGGCCAGCCTGGTCTACAGAGTGAGTTCTAGGACAGGCTCTAAAGCTACACAGAGAAATCCTGTCTCGATAAAGCAAAAAAAGAAACAAAACAACCAACCAAACAAAAACAATATTAAGCTTCATGCTTGGGTTTACAGTCCATCTCATGTCTTGTTTTTAGCAGACAGGCCCCAGGTTGTTTCAGCAGCACATACTGGAGCGATGCCACCCTTTCCCTGTCTAACAACTGTACATCTCTGTTAAATATCTGTTGACCATGTGTGTTTGATATAACTTCTGGAGTCTTTTCTTCTGCTGTATTGTTCTAGTGTCTACTCTTTTCCTAGCACCAGGATGTGGTGCTATTTATTTATTCCGGTTCCCATAAGTCATGAAATTAGGCAGAATGATCTCTGAATTCGACCCTTCTTTTTCAGAATCATTTTGGACTATTCTAGGTTTTTATAGTACCTTTCATATAATTTGGTGCTATGAATTTTATTTTTTCTGAAGGCAATCATCCCCCAGGAAGTGAAACTGTTGCATATATAAACTTGCTAAGAAATTGTTGACATATGAGCAATATTGAGCGTTCCAGTTTATTAATGTGAAGCATTTACTTATATTCTTTTATTGAATAAAACCTGGGAGTCAAGTAATGGTATAAAAACCTGATTCATCAGAGAAGCAGTGGAGAAGAGACCAATGACCTCCTGTCTCTTGCCTTCACCAATCCAAAATGGCCTGGGAATTTTTCTTAGCCCCTCCCTACTACTTCCTGTGTCTCTCTCTCTATGTATCTTGGGTCCTACAAAACATCCATGGCTAATTCTGCTCAGCTAGTCACTAGCTCTGCCCATGATTCAATGATACACTTTATTGGCAGTCTTGGAGTGTCTGTGTGAACAAACATCCCACAACAATTATGGTTTAGATCTGCCTTGATTTTTTTTTAATTTAATAAATTTTATGCATATGAGTGTTTTGCCTGCATAAATGTCTATGCATCACATGCATTCCTAGGGCCCACCAAGGTCAGAAAAGGTGTCAGATTTCTGAAACTGGAATTATAGATGGTTGTAAGCTACTATGTGGGTCCTGGAATCAAACCCAGATCCTCTGCAAGAGCAACAAGTGCTCTTAACCACTGAGCCAACTCTCCAACCCTGTCCTGATTTCTTCATAATTTTACATGTAGTTTTTGTTATGCTGATTATGAACTTTTCTTAGATGTATAATTTTATAGTTTTTGGCATTAGTGTAAATGGTGCAGTCTTACATGTTAACTTCCTTTTGACAGTAAAATTCACCTGACTTTGCAATGCTGACATTGTGTCCTGCAGCTTTGTAAACTTATTTTTTACATCCAGTAGTCTTTTGGAGAGTTGTTAGAATTTTTATGCAGCTAGAACCATGTCATCTGTGAAGAGAAACACTTTCATCTGTTTTCAAAAAGTGCAAACTTTCTTTAAGACACTTATTTTATGTATATGGCTGTTTTGCCCACACATTTGTTCATCACAGGCGTGCCTGGTGCCTATAGAATCCAGAAGAGGGCTATGGGTCTCCTGGAACTGGAGTTGGCATGATTGAAAGCTACCTTGTAGGTTCTAGGAATTGAACCTGTGTCCTCTGGAAGACAAATAGTCTTAACTGCTGAGCATTCTCCAGCCACATGACCCCATTTCTTTGCCCTGGTGAGGCCCTCCTGTGAAAAGTCATCCTGGAGTAGTGAGCGGACATCCTGCTCCTGCTCCTGATGGCTGGGAAAGAATTCTCAACTGCAGCCTTGGGAATCAAGCAGCTGCAGTTGGATTTATTGTTTTGTTTTTAATGGATAACTTTTGTAGGGTTGAGGAAGTTCCTCTGATTCCTAATTTTCACACACTTTTGGTGTGTTTATTGAGACATTTCTATTTTTCCTCTTCTCTTAGTTTGTTCATATGTCTAATTACACTGATTTCCCCCCCTTATATGTCTGTTCCTCCTTCTAACCAGAACACTTTATGGAGAGAAATCCAGCTGACTGTTGTTGTTGCTTCCCACTGCTCCTCACTCCTTTTGTTTCTTGATTTGATGATTCACCCTTAGTTCAGGAACTGGAAGACCCTGGTCAAGGTTCTGTTTCCATCCTCTCTAGTCTTCTTTCCACCATGGCATCCTTTATGGACCAGGACCTTCTCTGAAAGGGGGTTTGGGTATCCTTTCAGGTACTTGTGGGCAGTTGTAAAGTGGGTTTTTGTTGTAAGTTTCTTTCATTTTTCTCAAGAAGTTGGCATTCTTATATTCATATTTTACAGGTGTAAAGCTTCGAGGAAAATGTCTCAGAATTATCTTATTTTTGTCTCCTGCTAAGCTTTTCTGCTGGTTTGCAGTGAATATCATCCTTGCTGTGGCTTTTATTGCTGTGTCAGGTGAGTGACTCATCTCCAGATTCTGCAGCATTCTCTCCACATCCACATTGTCACTTAGACTTACTGACCACTGTGAGCCAGGCACTGTGGGAAGGGCTAGGGAGAAAACACACTGGAAATTCCTGTTCTCTGGGAACTTGGGGTCTAGCAGGAAGATGCAGTGAAGGAACAGCACAGGCTGTGGTGTGCACAGGAAGCCAGGCTCAGCATCCCTGGGAAGATGGCGTTCAGCAAGCTCTGGAGAGATGCAGGAGACATATGTCCTCCTGGGAGACCTATTGAAGGCAGAGAACAAGGAAAGGAAAACTCAAAGGAGTAGCCTCAAGGAGCCTGCTGCAGCTAAGGGAAGTGAGAGGAGTGAAGAGCAATGTGGTTGGGGAAGGTACAGAACCACCACACCAACCATGACTCATGGTTTCGTTTAACATATTCTTCCATGGTCTGAAAATATTAAATAGAATGTTCCAGAAATAGGTGATTCTCAAGCTTTCATTGTTAGACTATTCTGAATAATGTGATAAAACTTGTATAGCTTTCCTGCCATAGCTGGAGTAAATCATTCATGATATTATTTTATAAAATCAACTTTAACCATGTCAATGAATAATACACAAGTCTAAACTTTGACAAACATTTGCTAAGAAGACAGTCAGTGTAACCTAAACTCTTATGTAGCTGTGAAAAGATTCAGATAAAGAAAAGATACAGTCACCTTCATTTTTTTGTTGCATTTGTCCCTTTCATTAAAGCCTCATGGTACTGCATATGAAAACAGGAAATAGCTACAACAAATTGCCCTACACTAAAAATAAGTGTGTGTGTGTGTGTGTGTGTGTGTGTGTGTGTGTGTGTGTGTGATTTCTAGCCTTTATTTCTTACCAAATCACTTGTTTCTAGGCTCAATAGCCCTTCAAAGGAGCCATGCATTCATTCTTATCTGTTGAATGAAGAGACAAAGTTATGAAAGAAAAATATCTGTTATTTTTCTAAGCAGGCCTCTGAAAATTTGCTGCATTCAGGGTTTCTTACACACACTCATGCACACACACATTTAGGGCTTCTTACACACACACACACACACACACACACACACACACACACACACACACAACACTTTACTATAATAGACTCACATATTAACACATCACACAGCTCCATCAACACAGACACTCCAACATTTGCCAAGTCCCAAACCCTATGTATCTCATTGAACTTCCGCACAGTTAGAATAGACAACCTGAAGCCAAAGAACTTTGGTCATGGTTTTAGACTTTCGCTGTATTTACATTTTTATAGACTTATCAGCCACAAACTAGAAAAGACACCAGCAAAGTTGAAAGTAGAAAAATAATGCTCTTTATAACCCTATTCATGGCTTATGTGCCCTTTGCTACATTCTGTCCTTCCTCTTCACCTTACACTACTCTTCCTTGTTCTCCGTGTTACACTATGCCCATACTCACAGCTGTTTACACTGTACATTATGGGCTAGAATGAGCATATGGGGGAGTGCATGGGGTCTTTTTCTGAGTTTGTGTGACCTTATTTAATATTATGTTTTCTAGGTCCTCCACTTTGCTGCAACTTTCATTTTTCGTTATGTCTGAATAACATTGTGTTTGTCCATGTAATTCATTTTCATGATTTGTTAATCAGTTGATGGGCATCTAGGTCAGGTTCATTTTGTTACTATTGTAAATAGAGGACCTATTAATAAGCATGGATGTGAAAGTTTCTTTGTGTTATGATGTAGTGTTCTCTCGATATTTGCCCAGGAGTGTGGCATAGGTTTGTCACAAAAGGTCTAATTGTAATTTTTAAAGGAGATTCCATACTGGATGTATAAGTTTATACTTTCTCCAGCAGTGAATAAGTGTCCCAATTTCTGCCCAGAGTTCTAACATCTGTTGTGAGATTTCTTGATGATTGCCGTTCTGACAGCCTCTAATGATAGCCAGTATATTTTCATATTGATTTAATGTGTGTACATGATAAGAGGAAGTCCTTGATCAAAGTTTTGGTATCAAAAACCTATTTTGACCATGTCATGTTTTGCTTGTTTGTATTTTATCCATAGTTAAATCCAGAGAAGGAAGGAGCTTTCTTTATTTTCTCATTACAAGAGGAGGATGTGAAGGAGAATTATAGGAAAGGAGCCTGCAGGATTCCAGCAATCAGGGACAGTCCTAATGTTTTAAGGACCTATGATTTTGTGCAGGGTATTGGTGTCTTTAGTCCCTGCACTCAAGAGGTACAGCCAGGAGGAATACTACAAAATCCAGATGAGTACAGTCCACAGAGTGAGATCTGGACCAGGCAGGAGGACATAGATTCTGTCCCCAAACTATAAATACAAAGAAGAAAAGAAAAACATTTCCTTCGAGTCCCACATGAAGGCTCTTGATTGGAGACGACAATGCTAGGAGGCGTCTCTTAGTGATCAGCAATGAAAGCTACAAACACACACCTCCACTGAGATCGGGTGGTTAGCCGAAGAGACAGTTCATGGAAATGTTTGTTTATGATATGTCACTGCATTTTGTATATTTTAGTGAGAAAGGAAAAAACAGGTACTACAAACCCTGAAGCTGGTCGTGCCAATTGCTCAAGAGACTGGATTGAATTTGGAAGTAAATGTTTTTATTTTTCTGAATTCACAAGTAACTGGACATCCAGCCAGACCTCCTGCATGACACGAAAGGCCCATCTAGCTCGATTTGACAGCCTGGAGGAGCTGGTAAGAAAGGATCAGGAATTGGTTTGTTGTTTGTTCTGTTGAATGTGTATTGCCTTGAGATAGAGAGCTTAAAGCTGAGGCATGAAGAGAGTTCCCACCCTAGGCATTGAGGGACATGGGGCACATGTTAGTGTGGTCCATTTGTGATGGTAACACATCTCGCTGTAGCCCTGAGACATTCAAAGACATTCTGTCCTGTAGTGCTAATAGTCAACCTGCATGACCAGACGTATATTTGACTGAGAGACATGGTGGTCATGTCAGTCTTTGTGCAAGCTGGCAGGTGTTGCATACTTAGGGTGACAACTGTTAGTAGCTGCAAGTACAGGCTTAACAAGGGCCTTGCTCAGCTGCAGAGGGGTGGGTGGTTGTCAGTGTACTATGGATTATGGTAGTAAAATGCATCCACTGAGAACTGAGGGTTATTTAGTCGATTATCCTGAGTTCAAACCTGATGCCATCCTGAGAGGAGGCTGTAGGGCAGAGACTCCGTGGTCATCTGAAACTGAGAGACACATGTATTTGCTTTCTGTGTTTTATGACAGGATTTCCTAAAGAGACACAAGAATGATTCTGCCCGCTGGATTGGCCTGCACAGGAAATCATCAGAGCACTCTTGGAGGTGGACAGACAACACTAAATACAACAACTTGTATGTTTTCAGACCTCTTTTCTTGTGTTGTGATGTGTGTGAGTTGAGGCTATGAGAGATGAAAGGCGGTGTCATGTGGAGCCAGTTGTACTGGGAACATAAACCTTTAGGCCTGAGGTGTGCCCTGAGGGTAGGTTGGTGGTACATGCCACAGTCAATCTCCAGTAAAGTCCACATCCCGACAAATTTTAATCCGTTGGATTTACTTAGTGTTGTTTTACTCCAAATCTTTAGGATGATGGTGGCACTTGGGGTAGATGTTTTGTGCTATGGCCCTTGAAAATCTTTCCTTGTTGATGACTGCCCTTGTGGGATGTAGACAGAACTGCTGATGGCTACTAAGGGCTCTGAAACCCCAGGAAGACACTGCAGAACAGCTGGGGTAAGACTTGTCAGACAGCTGTTTGCACAGCTGCACCTGTCACAGGAGCAGAGACTCCAGGGTCTTTGGGAACCTCCTCTCAAGTTTTGTCATCAAAGAGCACCCAGGACAGCTCTTGGATGTGAGCATAGCTGTTTTGAACAGACCCATTTCACTGGAAGGGTAAAACACAACCCCAGTCGTGTTCATTATTAAAGACCTTTCAGCAATTTATTAAGTGGTACATTTTCTCCCACTTTTATACATGTGAAAATACTTCAAGATAGGATTAATGATCACCCTTGTGGTACTACCCATGGCTGAAGTTCACTTGAACATGGCAGCAAGCACCAGTCAATGCTTTGAACACATTGTACAAGGTTCAACATGGATGAATGAGAAAGGTCTGGTCATCAAATCGAACCCTGAGAATGCAAAAGTCACTAGGTGTAAATCTCGTGCTGGTGATTCCTCCTGGACTCTGCCTTTATGTGATCCATGTTATAAATAAGTAGTGGAGACGAGTGAGCTATCATCGCAGAAGTGAATGCAATGGCAGACTCTGCAGAAATTTGTTTGTTTTTTGTTTTAGGGTTTCCATCCGAGGAGAAGGAGAATGTGCCTACTTGAGTGACAGAGGGATCAGCAGTAGCAAGAACTACATGCCTAGGAAGTGGATTTGTTGCAAGCCCAAGAGCTAAACTTTATAGTGCCCAGAAGTTTCATAGCTTGTGTCAAAGCAATCATGAGAGACCTGTAACATGTTATCTACAGTCGCTGACTCATTTCTTTATCTTCTAAAATTATCAAAATCAATTCATAATCTGTGGTGATATCCAAGATGAAAACCATCATAGACAACTATACTTATGGGTGTTTTGGAGTCTATGAGAGATTCTAAATTAATTTCAGTGCTTTGGTATGAGTTGGTATTCATATCTTAAACGTGAATAGCAATCCTGTCAGCATTAGTGACCTCCACTTTTATGACCAGATATGATTTTTTCCATTAGTTCTTCCTTTGAATGACTGAGACCTTAAAAAAATGAAGGGAGGACAGGGTTGAGCCAAGATGGCTGCAGCACACATGGCTGCTGTAGAGGGCTGGAGGGGGAGGCTTCCTCCTGCACCCTTCCCCCACAGCTCTGGGTATCCTGCCCCAGGCCACATCACTGGTCTGCAGCCACCAAGGAGGAGTCTCACACACCAATGCCTCAGCCTCTGCACCCCAAGCCAAAGCCTGAGTGGTGTCCTGCTGTTAGAAAATCATGGAAGAGTGTCAGAGAGAATGGTTGTATCTCTGGTAAATGTGCCCTGGCATGTCTGGAGTATCTGTTGTCAGAACCTTTTAAAAAATGTTTGAAGATTGATTCAAGATGTTGGTTTGGGTTCTTGGTTCCAACTGGAGACACCACTGCTGTGGAGCTGCTCACGGGACACAGTTATGATGGTCATACCTACTGAGTCAGCAGGAAGGCCTTCACCAAGGACAGAGAGATGTGCAGAGGCCTGGAGCTCTAGTGGGTCCTGCCTCAGATACCCTGCCCAGCCGAATGATCACCCTGTCTCTGGGTAACAACAGGATATCCCAGACCAGTCTCACTGATAGTCTAAGAACACCCTGGCTCTAAACATCAGGATGTCTGTGATGGAGAACAGTTCATTTTCTGGGTTGGGCCTCCTCAGGAAACCTGGCACTGGCAGGGTGGTAAGCAGCAGCCTGGGTCTCTAGCCACCTCTGCCCCCTAATGCACTACCCAGCTCCACGACCACCCTGAATCTGAGCTGAGGTAAAAATGAGCTGATTGTGTGTAGTTTGTCTTAGACTGGGGAGAAATTGTTATTTTCTTATGTTAGTCTGAGTTAAAGGAACAAAATAGGCTTTTAAATGTCTCACAGTCCTCATGAGACAATAGATCTAGTTATGAAGCATATCCTAGTATATTCTATTCATCAAATTATACATCTTAAGTAGAAATCATCTTCCTGACCATCCACAGCTGTGTGTGTGCCCAGTAGATGGAATATATTCATGAGATAAACACACAAGCTTGGGGAGAACACCCATAGCAGTTTTTAGGGAAGAGATATAGTAACACATGAGAAAAATTACAAGACAGAAGCAACCAGTCATTTACAGTCAGTGACCTCACAGCCTTGCCAAATGGTGCTTCCCATCAGGGAGTCATTTGTCTGGTGGGTAGACCTGCTGAACACTATCTGTCACCTGCTATATACCCCCACAGCCTCCAACACCTCCCCTTTTTTCATTTAATAAAAATGGAAGCACGTAAATCTCTCTTAGGGTGGTGAGCAATGTGGATAAATTAAAAGTCTAAAGATGATTGGAAGAATGATAAGTAATACTGTAATGATTTTAAAATTAATAAGAATCCAAATTTATAGACATTTAAACAACATCTATATCAATAACAAATATTTATAATGAATCAATAATTTATATTTTTAATTAATAATCAATAATCTATATTGATGGTAAGCTGAGAACTAGTGTAAATACACTGTAGGTGTAGTTGCATATGATTTCAGAATACTTTTGATCTATAGTAAGGCAGAGGAGTAACATAAAAATCTATCATTAGTCAGCATGATATGATGTGGTTAAGTGTGTCTAAATATTATGTTATCAAAACAGAATAGTTTAGTTTAGAACATTAATTTTAATCTATTAATCTTTGAATAATTATATTAATTTGATTAGTCTGTATTTTAATGAAGCATTGTTAGATAAAGAGCATACCTGAATTAGTGGTGTACATCTGTAGAACCAAAGCTGTAGTTGAAGTTATCTTATATTTAAACTTGTAATCAGAGCAATTATAAACCATTTTGGCTCTGAGAGGGCAGTATCAATTGGCCTTATTGTATACATAGCAAGATTTACATATCAGAACAATTATCAGAAGTACATATGGAGATTGTTTGATAGTATATACATTTCAGGATCACAGAAAGAATTTATACAATTAGTAATAGAACATTTTTTAATGACAGTCCAGCTCCTGGGCTGGAGAGTTCTTCTGTGAGATGTTTTGTGTATGCTGTGAATGTGTTGCTCTGATTGGTTGATAAATACAATGCTGATTGGCTAGTAGCCAGGCAGGAAGTATAGGCAGGGTGAGCAGCCTAGGAGAATGCTGGGAAGAGGAGAGGAGTCAGGAGCTGCCAGCCTGACACAGAGGAAGCAAGATGACAAGGCAGTACTGAGAAAAGGTACTAAGCCATTGGCTAAACATACATAAGAATTATGGGTTAATTTAGGTGTAAGAGCTAGTCAGCAATAAGCCTGAGCTAATGGCTGAGCAGTTACAATTAATAAAAACTTCTGAGTGATTATTTCATAAGTGACTGTAGAACCACCAGGCCAGAGAAATGTGGGTCTGGTGGGACCAGGCAGGATAGAGAAACATTCAGATATATTTGGTGTACCAATTTGGGGCTCTTGAATTCCCATAAGGCCTAAAAGAGTTTAAAAATGCCTTCTAAACGCAGAATAAAGGAGCCCAAAACAGGTCGAGATCTAGAGACACCAAGGTACAGAGATACTGTGGCATGTGGACTTGAGCTACTATGGTGAATTCATGGTGTATGGGCTTGAGTATAGCATGGTAGATTCCTGCCACTGTACAAAGTGGCATCTGCAAGCCATGCAGCATGGTGCATGGTGGATATACCTTTTACTAGTACAGACAAAAAAAAAATAAGAAAGAAAAGGTTTTGGGGCTACATGCTGCTGGATGAAAGACTAGATCCACTGCATGGTTCCCCCAGAGCTGACAGTAAATGTAGTTCCTCCATGTTGGAAAGCTGAGGTGGGCGGAGTCAGCAGCCAAAGCTGCCATTTCAGTGCTAGTCATGCTGCAGTTCAAACAATAGATTCACAAAAAGACAGATTCAGATGAAATAAACCTCTAAATTGTTTACATTATGTATAAAAATGTTCGTAGGCTTGGAAGAGAGAGGAAAAGGAGTATAGAAAGTTATGTAAGGACATAGTTGTAAAAAATAAAGTCTTCAAAGAGACAGTAAAAGTAATATAAAAGTTAAGCCACGTAAAGATGAAGATTACACAGAGAGTCTGGATTATGTTTTTGGTATTTTTGACTGGAGAGAGACATTTGATTGAAAAGGCTACTCAGTTAAACCAAAAAGTATATTTTAAAGGTTTCTTGACTTTAAAACTTGGATCTGAGGTTATGTTGCTTTGGAAAGGAGACTCTGCTTTGTTTCCACAGAAGATGAGAACATATGGAGTGCTTTTTCTAGGCTAATATGGTTTGGTCATCGAAGATCCCCTGAAAGGTCTCTGATGACACCATGGCCCAGATGATCCAACATCCAAAACGGCTTCAAGGCAACTGGCTCAGACAATGCAGCCCTACAGACTAGTTCAGTCAGGGACTGACCATAATTCTTAATTTTTTTTCAGGATCCCCGTTAGATTGCCAGTGCCCTCAACCAGCAGGAAGTAGTATGAGAAGCTACGCTCAAATTCCCAAAATATGGTTTATAAATGTTTATTTTTATTTAAAGCATGTTGATTATAAATGCAATCTCTTTCTGAAGAAGAAAAGGGATGATATTATACATATGATAGGATAAAAGGGTCAATTATTGAACCTACTTTTAAAGAGCAACAGTTTGTTTTAAATGTTTTACATTGCTATAGATTTTAGTTTATTACAAATTTAAAGTTAATTTTGTTATACTGTATATATATTTCTATTCTCACTTAAGGTATTATGTTTATGTAACTCATTTAAATTGTAATGAATAATTAAGAAATACAGATTAATAGTTATCTAGGATAATCAAATTTATAGTCATGTTAGTTAAGTCTTTTAGGTATATAAAGGTATATTTTAATTAGGTATGTAATCTTCAAACACTTCAAAGACCTACACAATATGGCATTTAAAATGTTTAAATTTAAAAACTTAAACTTTCTGGACAGTGAGACACATCTGCTCCTGGAAGCACTGATTTACTTCAGAGAGGAGGATGGGCATTGAAGACACTCCATATGGAGTTTATCTTCTGCTTGGTAAAAATAGCCATTTGGGCAAGAAACTTTTCTTGCCTGAACTGCTTGACAAAATGTATCCACTGGACATACAGGACCTATGGAAAAATGACCACTGAATTTGCCAAAAGAAGGTGAAATGGTCTGTCAGGTTCCTGCTTCACAGAGGAGACTGTTCTACAGGACACAGGGAGAAGCAACTAAAAATCTCTAAGCCTATTGGCTGAAGATGGATGCCCCAACATTGCAGAGGAACTTTGAGTAACTGTCCAGGTAGCCAGCTGTTTCTGTCATTCTAGATTTTTGGAAGTTGCTTACAATGCTCTTCCTGTTTACTTAGGTAATAGTATATCCTTCTGAGGTCTTTGATGTAGTTGAAGACTAGATATTAGTAATTATAGTTTTCCTTAGTTATGATAAAAGATAAATTAGATATAAAAATCTTAGACTCAGAAATATATGATAAATATAATTTTTTTGAATTAGCCAAATATAAATAGACTAGATATTGTAACTGTAATTCTTGCTGGATAACTGTTCTATTATATGTAATTTTACCATATTAAAGTTAAAACCTTCCTTTTTGATTAGACAGAAAAGGGCAAGTACTGTGGGATGTTGTTCTGTATGCTGTGTATGTGTTGTTCTGATTGGTTGATAAATACAATGCTGATTGGCCAGTAGCCAGGCAGGAAGTATAGGCAGGGTGAGCAGCCTAGGAGAATGCTGGGAAGAGGAGAGGAGTCAGGAGTTGCCAACTTGACACAGAGGAAGCAAGATGACAAGGCAGAAATGAGAAAAGGTACCAAGTCACAGGGCTAAACATAGATAAGAATTATGGGTTAATTTAGGCATAAGAGCTAGTCAGTAATAAGCCTGAGCTAATGGCCAAGCAGTTACAATTAATATGAGCTTCTGAGTGATTATTTTATAAGTGGCTGTGGGACCACCAAGACAAAGGAATGTAGGGTATGGTGGGACCAAGTAGGACAGAGAATCTTTCAGCTACAGAGTTCAATATAGAAAAAGGTGTAGACGAAATTCTAAATGGTCTTATTAAATAAGAAGCACAGAGCCAAATACAGAGTTAAAAGCCTAAGAGATCCAAGCACTAGCAAAGAGCCAAGACCACCTTATCTTACCACTTGCTGCCATTCTTCCCCTGAGAGAGAAAAAGACCTTCTTCCTGTGTGTCTTGAGTTTTATTGCTTTCCTGTTCTACCTTCTCATTGGCTCTAAGCCCAGCCACATGACTTCCTCGTCACTGTCTGTCTATACAGACCTCCTGGCCTCTATGGTTGATACTGGGATTAAAGAATCAAGGTT